AAATACATTGCTTTTAAAATCGTGCTGTGCAACACGAAAAAAAAGGGGCAAATCGTGTTGGGGGAACACGAATCAATAGATTAAAAATCGTGTTGGTGAACACGAAGGCCGTGAGACTGGGTTGAATGGGAACGAGGGAACTGTTCCTGGGAATAAGAGACGTGCAGGAACATAATGTATTTCATTATTTGTTCCATAATCTCTATAAGAATGTAAATATATGTAGATGTTTATGCATAAAGTATGTGATTACCTCAGTGAATAGATCTGCTGTGCCATGTCAAAAACCATATTTCAGTTCTTCCTCTAATAACATGTACTGTATGTGCTTTATTTATCTTGACTTAATCACGCACACACTATTCAGGGTTCATAATCCTACATGCTAACACGGGGAGACCATGTGATGAAATTGCTTTGTGGAGGGTAGCTGTACTCTTGAGTGTGATGCCTCCAGTGAGTGGGCTTTGATAGAAAACAATGGGCGTATTTGTTGTGATGCATTGTGGGTTTCCCCTTAAGAGCGGCATTGTTAATACTTGAACAGATTCATATTTGATGCAGCACATTTGTAGTTCTGTCAGATGTCCATCATATGTCTCCTGGAGGAGTGGACAGCATGACGCTTTTTAAGCTTGACAGTGCACAGCAGGAATAATTTGTTTTATCTCCACCCAGCACACATGGATGCTGAGCTAGTCGCTGCCCTGTGGTCATGTGAAGATACCTCAATGCTGGCGTAGAGAAAACAAGAAAATCAAATTCACCTCACAAACTGAAGTTCCCATGTTTCACTCTCCTTAGTTTCAGCAGTAGCATTTGTTTTATATATTAGCACCCGGGGATATGCTTCCTGTGCAAATGGATCCAAAAATAAAGACTTGTTTGTCTGGTAGTGGCAAATCATCTGGAGTACATTACCATTGATGGTTCATTTGGGGTAACTGTGGCTCAGGGGGACAACATGGATGTCGACCAATCAGACGTTAGATCCTGAGTCCCTGCAGTCAAAATGTCCAAGCATCCTTGGGTTAAATACTTGATCCCAAAATTGCTCCCATATGTCTACTCTAGGGTATTGAAGTTTATTGGATACAAGTGTCAGCTAAATATAATTTCACATTGTTTTTACACGTATTCCTTTGATATACGATAATACTTTAATGGTCAAATCAAGTCTTTGACTTGCATCACAGCAGCTCCATTTGTAACATCAACACGGACACATATTAAGAAAAAAAAACATTTAACATACCATCACAATCACTGAGTGAAATATGCGGGAAAGAAGACCCTCTGGCATGCATTGGATCTGGGATTCAGCTCTGTATTTACTGTGAGGATTGACTGGTTGTTTGGACAGATTTTTAAAACCAACAGATGTTTAAGATTTAACTTTATTTCAATACATTTCTAAGATTCAAAACAAAAGATCAACTTGAATACAGACCACTGTTTCATGCATCTCAAAATAGTTTGAAAACCTTCAGATGCTTTCATGAACCTCTTGTGGTATTTATCCGAGACAGTCTCCTCCCTTAAACCTTGCACATCATAAAAAGCCACAGTCCAGGAGTGGGTAGAATTTGTTTTTCCCACATATTTTGCAGCCAAAAATCGAAACTACGAGACAGATGTTCACCTACAGCAGCATTCGTCTTGGCAGAGTCTTTCACTTTTTTATGCTCCCAGTTTTTGTTTTATTGATCGGCTACAAACACACCTGTGCAACAGTGTGTTAGGAAGTAAGACAAAGGGGTAAAAACAATCAATCTCTCTTTGCCGCCTCTGCCATGCAGCGCTGTCTGCAGCTATTCCTCTTATTTTGTATGACTGTGATGAGGTATCCTCTTCATTGCTTTTGAGAACATATTGTCCATTTAATATTACAGAGCAGCCACTAATCAGAGGTTGCTTTGCTGGCTTCAGATCTACTGGTTTTCTGCTAAATCTGTCTTTATATTACATTACATGTCACTTGTTAGACGCTTTTATCCAAAGCGACTTGCACAATACTGTGGGCAATCCCCACAGGAGCAATGTGGGGTTAAGTGTCTCAGGGACACAACGACGTGCAGTGGGGTTTGAACCTGTGACCCCCTGGTCCAAACACCAACGCACAACCCACTGCATCACACGCCTTATATAACGTTGTGTGTGTCACAGCCTCTGACAGTATTGTTAGCTGATTCACCTTCTCTGACTATTTTCAAGGACAACCTCTTTACTTCCTCTCCACACTTCATTCAAAGGTCAACGGAAGAAAGACATTGCCATCCAAATAATAGCTGTCTTTATAATGCCTTCACATTTTTTAAAAACAATTTTTTTCTCCCCTGGCAGCCTTCAGTCCAAAGGTTCCATCTTTTCGTCAAGTAAAACTTAGTAAGCTTTCAACAACAAGTGTTTCAAAAAGTACTGCCAGAGGAACCAAGGATGCATAACACAAAGGTTTCAGTGCAAGCTAGGAAGAAATACAAAGTTAAGTTTAGATTTCCGAAAGTTTTTGTGTTGTAAAAGATAATGTATGTTCACTGTAAAGCTGGCCCTAAACCTCCTGAGCTCAGTTTTTCATTATGTGAGTGTCGTGCTGAAAAGAAACTGAAAATCAATTGAGCCCTAAAGGAAGAAGCCAACCAACAAGCAGAGACATTCAGGAGATTAAAACAAGAAGCGGTGCTGTGTTAGTGTTAGTGTTTAAATTAGAAAGTATAGATCAACATTTGGGAACTGCATGAACAAGGGAAGAATGGATGTTACATTTCTGTCTAAAAAGTCTGGATGGAGGTTTTCTCCCACAGTCCAAAGACATGTATAGATTAGGTGAAATATAGATTTTATATTGCCTGTAGGTGTGAAAAGTGGTTTTGTGTCAATCCTACGAAAGGCTGACAACCTGTCCTGGTCGAACTTCAACAGCGTTCCTAAAAAGGCCTCCTTGCTTTTCAATCAAATCAGGAAGTTCTTAGTGCAGTATCCAAATGTTGGGTTGGGGTTGTTTTTGCAGCAAGCTTAGCATAAAATATCAAGGTATAAAAGTATGCCAAAGTCAGTTCTGCCAAAGTCTCCTTTCGTTAGCATATTAATCCAACTTTGACGGGTCGCGAACATATTTTTTAACCCGTTTATACCCCAAAGAATACAGATAACACCTACAAATTAAGAAGGATCATCACATGGACAGAAGACTAATGCTATCTGCTGTCGACAAAATAAGGACACAAAACAAAATGGTTGTGAAAAGGGTTAGGTAAAGGGTTGGTAACCATAAAAAGAGATGATCCTCATATAAATCCCAAATGGTAAGGGGTGGAGTTATAACATTTTGTGTATTGGATGATGTCCTCCATCTTCTAATGTGTACCGAGTTTAGCGCCTCTAGCTTTTTGCTTTGATATAGCTGCCATTGACTCCCCATTATAGCAAAAACAGGATAATCCTATACAAATCCAAAGTGCTAAGGTGTAGGGCCATGCAATTTGGTGTCAATAATATTCTCCTCCTGCTATTAATGTGTGCCAAGTTTGGAACCTGTAGCTTCTTTCTTTGATATAGCTGCCATTGACTCCCATTGAAGCAAAAACGTGATAATCCTCATATAAATCCAGAACGCCAAGTGGTAGCCATGACAGTTGGCCTCAATAATAGTCTCCTCCTGCTATTAATGTGTGCCAAGTTTGGAACCTGTAGCTTCTTTCTTTGATATAGCTGCCATTGACTCCCATTGAAGCAAAAACGGGATAATCCTCATATAAATCCAGAACGCCAGGTGGTAGAGCCATGAAAGTTAGCCTCAATAATAGTCTCCTCCTGCTATTAATGTGTGCCAAGTTTGGTGTTTTATATATTTTTCTTTTGATATTGCTGCTATTGATCCCCCATTCCAATATATTCTGAAAAGTGTCATCATTAGGGTTAGGCCGAACTTTGGGACATCACTTTTAGAAGTAAAGGCTAGTTAAATACTTTTATATCACACATGTACTGCTGTGATTAAGTGTGCTTGTGAAAGTTGGCGTCAATATAGTCTCTCCCTGCTATTAATGTGTACCAAGTTTGGCGTTTTATATATTTTAATTTTGATATTGCAGCATTGACCCCCCATTCTAACATATTCAGAACATTATCATCGTTAGGGTTAGGGTTAGGCAAGGCAAGTTTATTCATAGAGCACCTTTCAACACAAGGCAATTCAAAGTGCTTTAGAAAAATGAAAGACATTAAAGGTGGGGTAGGTAAGTTTGAGAAACCGGCTTGAGATAAACTTGTTGTTATATTCCATGGAATGCTCTTAACATCCCGATAGCAATGAATATCTGAAGTGCTTTGACAACAAATCCATATAAAAATCTCATCAGTGGAAGCCGTGGCGCTGTAAAAAGCACGACCAATCATCTGAAGCCGGCCCGGCTAAAGTAACTGGATGGCCCTACCTGCCTGTCAGCCTTCCATCTGGGCACTAACTTATCTCGTGCCCTCATTGGTCATGTGTGCGTTCGTGTGTGTTGGAGGAGGGGCTCTGTGAGGAAGTGGCAGATTTGTTCCGGCTGTGTATTTCAAATCCTAGCGCACTCGAGCTGCTTTCTCCAAAATTACATACCCCACCTTTAAGAGCATTAAGAAACATATTATCAAAGGGCATTTAAAAACACTCATTTAAAAGCAAAGATAATAAAACATGAATAACAAAGGGTACATGAATTACAGGGACAGTGCAGTGTGAGATACACACATCTGAAAGGTTTAGCTCTGACTCTCAATCATTGCTAACTTTTTAGCAGAAATAGTTTTCTTTGACCTCCCTTTCTTTCTACTTTCTTTTTTAACTTATCCTTTAGTTATTTCAAGTGTTTCATGCTAAACAAACCCCCCTTTGGAAAATTCTAATCTGACCACATGGTACCTTTTAGTTTTCGCCCAAACTAGAGTTAAACACTGTTATATCACACATGTTCTGCTGTGATTAAGTGTGCTTTTGTTTGTTTGTTTGTTTCCAATAGGTAAGCCCAAAGTGGAGCTGACCTACGACAAGATGTACACCGTGACCAGCCGGCTGACCTTCACCGTCAGTAAGGAGGACGACGGCGTGCCGGTGGCGTGCATCGTGGACCACCCTGCCGTGAAGGACTTCCTTGCTCAGAAATACCTCGAGGTTCAGTGTAAGTACTTCTGCTATGCCGTAAATTAGAAATCAGCGTGGATATTTTAAGCTGCCATATGCAAGTTTTTCAAGTGTCTCATCAGCTCAACTCCACAAATTGGACTGTAATACAGAAGAGTGTTCCATCGCCTCTAATTAAACGGCATAAATTTGCTACTTTTCCCAACTAAAAGTTTGCAGTATGGCACTGTCATTGAAGGGAAATCATCTCAACGCGCGGGTTATACAAGGAGAAAGTTGGTCTGCCACAGAGTAGAGTGTTCCATCTCCACTAATTAAATGACATCAATTTCCCACATCCCCCCCCCCCCCCCCCTGCTGAAATGTCGGTGCATGGCAAAGTCATTAGAGGGAAACCATATCAGAGCCGGATGAGTAAAAAATGTAAATATATAAAATTGTGCATTTGTGAATATCTTCCAAAGAAATATACTAATGTATCAGGTTGTGTTTGCTTGTTTTTAACATGAGTTGTCATTATGTTGCTGTTTGCAGTTACTTGATATTATAAAATAACTTTAATATTCACAGTATTTCCTGATATTAAAGCCTACAATAATATAGCAGTTCAATCCAGTTTGAGGTAAAAAGTTAATTAATAAGGCTGCTTTTATGCTAATATGTGCATAATACATGTGCCAAGATGTTTGAGATTTCAAGTGTGCACTAACCAGGTGCAGAGAATTAAACTCTTGAGTGCGCACAAAAGAAGGAATTTACATCCTTGTGATATTGAGTGCTTCTGAACTCCTCCAAAAATTGGCCATAAGTGGAAGTAGGCGTGCACTTTAATCAAGTGTTTGCACATGAACACCTCAGTCTCTCTTTGCAAATCCTTTAATGTAAAGAGCAGAAGAGAAGTCGAGGGAAAGGTATTTCTTAATGGCCTCCAAAATCAAACAGCTGTGATTATTTATAGACCGCAAATGCATTTAGTTAACGGCCCAGACGGTAATCTACAATGATCTCTTATACTCTGATGAAATGTCATTTAAGTAAAATATTGTACAAAGTAATATTGGTAAATATATAAAAAATGATAACAGAGGTAAACGACAAGTGAAATACACCATATCCAAAATAATTGATAACAAAATATTGATTGTCACTTAGAGATGGTATGTGGGATGCAACAACAACATAACCAAATACACTTTAGAATGTTTCTAGAACATTTAGAGAACCTTAAAATACTGAATATGAGATTCGGAAATTATGTTTTTTCTTGTTTTTGCACATTATTTGTGCATCTGGCCTCCGAAGGATACGTTAAGATATGTTACGATACGTTATGATACGTTAAGAAAGTTAACGTACGTAAGATACGTTATGATACGTTATGATACGTTAAGATACGCTATGATACGTTAAGATACGTTATGATACGTTAAGAAAGTTAACGTACGTTAAGATACGTTATGATACGTTATGATACGTTAAGATACGTTACGATATGTTACGATAGGTTAAGATACGTTACGATACGTTAAGAAGTTAACGTACGTTAAGATACGCTATGATACGTTACGATACGTTACGATACGTTACGATACGTTACGATACGTTAAGATACGTTACGATATGTTACGATAGGTTAAGATACGTTGCGATACGTTAAGATACGTTACGATACGTTACGATACGTTGCGATACGTTGCGATATGTTACGATACGTTACGATACGGTACGATACGTTAAGAAAGTTAACGTACGTAAGATACGTTATGATACGTTATGATACGTTAATATACGTTACTATACGTTACAGTATGTTACGTTACTATACGTTACTATACGTTACTATACGTTACTATACGTTACGATACGTTAAGAATACGTGTACGATACGTTACGATACGTTAAGATACTTAAGATACGTTGCGATACTTACGATACGTTATGATACGTTACGATACGTTATGATACGTTACGATACGGTACGATACGTTAAGAAAGTTAACGTACGTTAAGATACGTTATGATACGTTATGATACGTTAAGATACGTTACGATACGTTACGATACGTTACGATACGTTACGATACGTTACGATACGTTAAGATACGTTACGATACGTTAAGATACTTTACGATACGTTACGATACGTTAAGATAACGTTACGATACGTTGCATACGTACTATACGTTATGATACGTTACGTACGTTAAGATACGTTACGTTACGATACGTTGCGATACGTTCGATACGTTGCGATACGTTAAGGATACGTTACGATAATACGGTACGATACGGTTACGATACGTTACGATTACGGTACGATACGTTACGATACGTTACGATACGTTACGTTGCGATACGTTGCGATACGGTACGTTATGATATGTTACGATACGTTACGATACGTTACGATACGTTACGATACGTTATGATACGTTACGATACGTTGCGATACGGTACGTTATGATACGTTAAGATACGTTACGATACGTTACGATACGTTGCGATACGGTACGTTATGATACGGTACGTTATGATACGCAGGGATGCACAGACATTTGGAGGGGCTATTGCTCTAAACTGGAAAAAGGGCCATCCCCCCCCCCCCCCCCGAAAAAATATATAAGACCAAAACGATTATTACATTAACTAATTTGAACAGTAATTCACATCATCATCTCATAGCAAAATAAGCTAAGGCGGACTACTTGCATTCGGTGACTTGATTTTAAAATGAAAACCAGGGACATTTTTTTGTTTTGCGGTCCATATCTCATTAAAATATCTAATGTTAGTAACTAAAGAAAAAATGGGGACAATTCAATGTAGTTTGACCATTATAACTGCTGTGCAGACATAGGCTACTGATAAAATAGGGGGCTTCTATAATTACCTTAAATAAACTCACTAATTAATAAAACCAGTTCAATACGCATTATTCTTATTCTTATCATTCTTTATGAGCGCAGTAACGGTAAGGTATCTAATTACTTTTAGTATTCCATAACTTAATAACAGAGATGGTCAAACTAAAGTAGAGACATGGCAGAAATCCTACAATGAAGCGGGGCAGTGAAGTGTTCTCCTGTGAGAGGTTGATCAAGAGAAGAGAGCGAGCGGCCCGTTGAGGGAGTTTACCATGGATGTTTAATAGGAGTTTACGGAGCAGATGAAAAGACACAGAAAGACAGAAGCACAATAACAAGTATATGTAGGCTAGGTGTTTTTTTGTAAATAACCGACGGTGTCAAGAGGAAGTAAAGTCCCGCCATGAGAAAACTCAAAATCCATTTTCCAATATCCGACACTGGAGGTGGTCTTAACGCACCGGCACCAATACAGTATAATAAATAAGATATTGTAATGACATTAGGGTCATGCAGAGTGAGATCGCTACCCCTTTAAGAGAGGGGTGTGGCGCGTGCATGTGGGTGTGGGTATGGTAGAGCGAGAGTGAGCGAGCGGTGTATGTTTTTCTGGAAATGAAACGAGGCAGCAGGAAAAAGCATAGGTCTGTGATGTATCTTGTGAAACAGAAGAGCAAAATAAATGCAATGACCTCCCAAGAAGAGCTCGCCTCTCTCCAGTCATTTTATAAAGTGGGTTATTGAACCCGAAGCGTGTTGCTTCTTGCCCTGGCTAGGAGACGACAGAGAGTCATCCCCCCTGTTTCCTCCTCGACGACAGGAAAGTTCAACAATATATAGGCTATAATCATGGCTATAATACGTAACATGTGTAATCACACACTTAGCGATATAGAACATAAATAATAAAAACGTAGGTATACCTGGTTTAAAACACTTTTGTGGTCATACTGTGGAATGAGTTCACACTGAAACAAGTTCTTTATTCAAAATGTCGCGGGCAATTACATGTAAGAAGGAGAAGAACAAGTAGTAGAAGAAAAATGAAGCTGGTGTGTTTTATTATACATCCATGGTTTTCCCGCAGCGAGACACTACAATACTAATTGTGGCTTATCATGTTGATTCGACCACAACAGAAATAAAAAAAAACCCCTCTCTCTCCAGAGGGGCAGGTCAGCCAAAAAAGGGGAAACGGGCCGTTGCCCGGGCCACATTAGCCCGTACCTGTGCACGTCCCTGATGATACGTTACGATACGTTATGATACGTTACAATACGTTGCGATACGTTGCGATACGATACGTTACGTTAAGATAAGTTAAGCTACGTTACGATACGTTACGATACGTTAAGATAAGTTAAGGTACGTTATGATACGTTGCGGTACGTTACGATACGTTGCGATACGTTACGATACGTTACGGTACGTTAAGATGCGTTAGGATAAGTTACCATACGTTAAGATACGTTATGATACGTTAAGATACGTTATGATACGGTTATGGTACGTTACGATACGTTAAGATACATTATCTGTGGTGAGTGCCCCACTCTCACATTTCTAAATGTAACTCCCATGGTCCAGGGTTATGTTTTATTGCTAAAATGTATAACAGTAAAGAATATCAATGGGCATTGGAGACAAATATTTGCAACACCTAAGTTTGCCTTAGATTATATATTATATGAATACTGGACTTCTCATAACGATGGAATCCCATTTAAACTCAGCACTGGAGCCGTGTGGGCAGTAATTAATATGCCAGGCCTTTGTAATGCGGAGCTTTAGATATTTTATTGATGCAAAATGAATTGATGCCTTTCATGCCCCGGTAACCTTATGTCTTTAGGCCTCTGGCATGTCCTAGCATTCTGTTTAAAAAAATAAAACTCTTCTGCAGCCATCTGACCTTACCCCGGGAGAGCGAGAGGAGGAGATCAGATCATCTTCAGAGGCAGCGTGGCATTTAGTCGGCCTCTGATAACAGAGAGAGAGAGTCTGTGCATACTGTATCAGCTAACAAAACATTCAAGTTTAATATTATATTCTGAGTATTACCCAGGGAACATTATAACCTATTGTGTGGAACATCTTCTAGAACATCATAATTGGAGATTGTCTTCATTTCTTTGACTTCTGTCGTGCTCCTTATTATCAGGCTCTGTCATTT